CCATCCTATGATTTTCTAATCAGAAAATGGATTTTTCCTGCAGGAATTCGTTTGTTCCTCAAGAAATCTCTCTCATGCCATATTCGTCCGTGAACCAGGGCTAATAGTTCGTGTGATTTTAGGTCGGAAGGGGCTCTCCAAGAATGAGAAGGGCTGAGATGCGGAAGCAGGGGGAGCCATTCTTCTACTCGTGGGTGTTACAACTGAACCGGCCAGGGTCTTATTAAAAGTATCTTAGACCTCCCTCTAAATGTCAAAACTTTCTTATTAAAAATCTTTGCATTTAAGTTTGAAATATTTATGTTGCATCAGTGCACACTATTCTTTTTTGTATAACATGACCCTTTTTTTTATAGACCATCAAAGTTCAAATATTTACTAAACTTTGTACTGCTTCTTGTTCATTTGTATAGCTTATGAGAAGGTACAGATTCTATTTAGCATTCATGTTTACCATTGGTTATAGGTTAACCTCAGCAAAGATAGCATATTCACATGTTTGCAAATCAACTTTGTTGTATATATAAGTGTCATCAATGATCAACCTAGACCCGCAGACGTGCGTAAGCTAGATAAGTGCGCACATGAACGCACAGGAGGCGTGCGAATGGCACGCCCCAGCCACTAGTCACTGTTAAGCCCTGGCGTACCAACGCCCTAGGGGAGCTGGAGTGGCCGAGAGGCAGAGACAGGCTACGATTTCTCGATCAACCCTCCCGGGAATAAGACGATTGACAAGTTCGACACCAAGCTCCAATGGAGTGGAGATCAAGGCATAGCATGCGTTCCTCCTAGCAGCAGAGAGAGGACCGCATAAGCGTCCTCCCTAACGACCTCCTCATCCTCGTTCTAGCCGGCCTACGCTGCGCCGCTCCGGCCACGCGCACCGGTATCCTCTCCCGCCGGTGGCGCGGCCTCTCGACCCGGCTCCACCATATTGCCTTCCGCAACGTCACGTTCCATTCACTCGAAGCAGCACTCGGCCACATCGGTTCTCCTCCGGTTTCCCTCCTTGAAATCCGCATCACGCAGAGGTAGATCCGAGAGGAACGCTGGCGCAACCCCGCTATGGTCGATTAGCAGTTGCGCGCCGCTGCTCGTCTCGCACCTGAGAAGTTCGTCTTCCACGTCCGGTGCATTTCGACCAATGTCGGACTGCCATGCTTCTACGCGCCACCTCGATCATGTAGCACTCGCGCTTCTTATTCCTCCGGGTGCCGACCGGAGTCGAGTTCCCCGCGCTCGGGACGTTGTCCCTCTCGGGCTGCCCCGTGAACCTTGATACCTTGCTCTCCCGCTGCCCGCGCCTGCGCGCGGCCTATTAATTACGAACACTTCGCAGCTCAAATGGTAAAGAACACTTACTCTCTACCGTGGGGGTTCGAGATTGATTCTCCATAGAACATCATTTTTTTGTTATTTTAGTAGGGTCTCACTATGACGCCACCGAATGGGATAGAGCATCATTTTTTTGGGGATTATAGAAGCGTATCGCTATGACGCCACCGAATGGACCGACCCATTAAGGTTGCGCCTTGCGTGAAAGCTCGTCTGTTTGACACTCCCGAGCACCAGATAGATCTCTCGTCATTGTGGTATACCTTTAAATATCTTTATAAGATTTTAAAGGTACTAAAATATAAAAATGTGAACACATAAGCAACATAAATTAATCTAGAGGCAATGTGAGTTTGGAAAAAAAATCCCGTATGAAACAACGTATAAAACAAACTCCGCCGTAAAATAATGGCTTAACTTAATGCATGTGTATTTGTAATTGAGACATTAGAATTGTATATCGAATACAATATATCGATTTTGGAACACTATATGTTGCCATTTGTGCTAATATAAATATAAACTAATAACAACTAGTAGCTGATAAAAAATAAATTTGTTTAATATAAATCCAAAGCTGACATTTTTGTGTTGATCAGGGATGGCCATCTGCTGCCCTGCGATACATGGACATCACCAGTCTAAAAATCACGGAAAGTCGAAGCTGCCAGAAACTCAAAAATTTCAACCTGTGATTAATTGAAACCAAAAAGGTCTTGAGAAACCCTAGAACAAACATTACCCACTCGGGACAAAGATTTATTCAGCTTTTCTATTGGCAGTGGCAACCACATGCTTCTCATGCTTGAACGTCAGGTCGGTTTTCTGCCTCCGGTGACCTCTCCTTCGACTTTTTTTTCCGATCTCGATAGGTTTTTTGTTGATCTCCTCATGATTTTTATTTTGGACAGAACTTCAACTACAACCAATAGGCGACTTACATGGCAAGAGGCTGCTGATTCCGCTCCATATGAATTCTCTCATTGATGTGTTTAAAATGGGCCTTGCATTACACTTCATGTACCATTGAAGCCTCAAAGGCAAAAAAAATGTATAGGGGAGACAAGATTTATAGGTAAATAAAAACTTTTTCTCTTTTATAGCATAACCAAAATTTGATATCCATATTTTTCAAAATCAAATAAAATATAGAGATAACACATACTTCATTGCATACGTAAACATCATTTGCAAATTAAACATTAAACATAAATATATTAAACGCTACTACGATCATAATTAAACATCCCTTTTACACATCGAGAAAAACTAGCTACATTTTGATTAAAAGTAGGTGTCGGAGGGGCCTCTCCTGGGTGACAAACATTTCCTCATCCTCGTCGGAGAGCTCGGTGAGCTCCTCCAACATCTACCCACACTCGGGGGTTAAGGCAGGCAAGCTCGCGGCGCTCATGCTCCATGGAATCAAGGAACAAGCGGTTATAGGATGGCCCCAAGCGGCACAAATGTGCCATGGTGACCTAGCTGAAGCTCAAAAATGGCGGCGGGGAGCTCAGAGGATGGCGGCACCGAGGCTAAGGATGGGCAACGAGGAGTTGTGGGATGATCAGAATGATACAACACAAAAGGCGAGAGAACCCTATTAGCTCCATTCACAAAAAGCACATTCAGGTTATCTATCTTATAAAACATATAATCTTCAGGGAAGAGTGCATAATATTAAAGACAATTTTTCGAGAAAAAAAAATCCAGTAATCATAGCTAATGTTTAGAGATGGAATAATATCATCATTATTTTCTGTGTATTGCCACTCATTCGGCGCATGCTGCACCCGTCCCCGAGATCCTGGTGGACACACTCCGAGATTGTGGCATACTAGCATGCCCGTCTCCAACATGGTACACGCATCGCCCCAGGAAGTTCGACGACTACACCCTCACCTATAGAACATTTGATCTTTGCGGATGGAGCATTTGGCTATTCTTATATACTTCACACGAGTTTGGTGTTGTGGAATATTCGGTACTCATAATTTGATATTTAATGGTGTGAGTGATGGGACTTAAACTTGCATCTTATGTTTCTTGGGTACACGACTTCAAATTTCATATAATAATGTGGC